TTGCGCATGCGCGGATCTCCTCTCCATCAGGTTGTAACTTGTGAGAGTTCACTCTACTGCGAGACGCGAGACAAGAGACGTGTTGTAACCAATAAACCAGAGTTCCAATAATAAAACCCGTGTACTATTTATTGTGTCCACACTCGCAACCCAACAGGTTATGTGCCCAGAGCACGCTCCCTAGCGCAAATCAAAACTCAAGTGAAAAATGAAAAATAAAAGTGATAGTAAAAAATAAGGATAAACCCTCAGGAACATAGTGCCAAGTATCTGGTGGTCTGAGGCTCTGAGGTGGCGAAGAAAGGCGAGAGAAGCCTGGAAAGATGGAAAAGCCAGAAGGAGAGAGGCGTAAATACAGTTGAATGTGCTATACCGGTGGTAAGCGTCTCCCAGGCAACGGAAAGGGATTGCGTCATCACAGAAACAACGTGGACGCTGGGAGACAAGATGGTGGACAGCAGACGTTGGCGAAACCATCAAACAAAAATCCGGGAGAGAAAAAAAATATTCAATTAGGGAATTGAAAATCCCAAAGAAAATAAAAATAAAAATAGATTGAAATAGGTGGGAATAATATATGTTGAGGGATGAGTTGGGAGAGTAGTAACATGGTGAGGGACGCGTCCACTACATAGAGCATCGGTGAGAGAAGCGTCCATCTATGGAGAATCGGTGAGGGACGCGAACAGTATAGAGTCGGTTAACGTGGTGGGTGCGCGCGCAGCATTGGTGGGAATAGTAACCAGGAGCGGCTGTAGTAAAGCAGCACACGCAAAGCTCGAGCGAATGATGAGATGGCGAGATGTAGAAAAGGAAGGGGTCACGCGGCTCTACGCCAGCGCGCGCGCATCGCAACTGCGGCCGGCGGCAAAACTAAAGCCAAATTTGAAATTGATGCGAAATACAAATGAGGCGAGAGTGCACAAAAATAAAAACAACCCCAAATCAGCAAACTAATAAATAAATTACCGTATGTGACGACTTGTGGGAGCTGTGGAGGCAATTAACGTTCCTCTTTGAATTTGATGAACTCCATGAAGGAGAGGACGTCGTCCTCGAGTTAGTAGAGGAGACCGTATTAATACGAACAGACACAATTAAGTGTTATATGTTTGGTGAGTTGCGATGAATTAAAAAGGAGAGTTACGATGAGAAATGCATGCGATCAAAGTGCTTGTGAGTATATTGGCTAGCAAATATAATCACAAATTAACTAAGCCCTGAAAATGATCAAATAAAACAAAAATACTAGTAAAAAATTCAGAATAAAACTTGAAGTTTGGTTGCTCCAAAGGGATGATCAGTGGAAGCGTACTTGTGTTCAGTGCGTGGAAATTGATCAGCTCTGTCGGGCATAGAGGGGATATTGTGTTCATATCTCGTCTGTGTCTGACTGTCCTGAAGCTGACTTGTGTTCGGTTGGTCGGTGAAAGGGCATAATATACAAATGATAATACTGATATTCATAGATTTTATTTATCACAACAGCAAAAAGCATGATGACAGAGAACCAGTGGAGACTACTGGTGGAGTGGCATGAGCAGAAGCTTCTCGCCAAAAAGCCTCCCATCATGCCCAAAATCTATGAGGAGCAACCACCAATTACTGCCGAGGTGAGTGAGATGAGCAAAGGTGAGGAGAGCGACGGTGAGAACGGGGAAGATGGTGAGAACGGTGAGGACGGTGAGAAAAGTAAAGGTGCGTCGGCTGAACAAGGTGCGGGACAAGCGGCAGCAATTGAGACTCTCAAAGCAGGTAAAAGTAAACCTCAGATTACAAAAATCGGGTACGTGGAGCCTCAAGTTAAAATAAGATCCACGTTACAAAACCACCCGACAAATCCAATGAAATACCACGCGAGCAAACCAAGAACTGAAATTCCAGTGGAAAGCAGACTTGAATCGGTGTGCTCGAAACTTGATGCTGTGACCAACACACTCGCGAAAGTTTTGAATATTCAGACCAACACGAGTGGCTGGATACTAGACAGCATCAAGGAAATGAGAAAAGAGATGAGCGAGATGAGAAACCGCCGGGATGACGGGCTCTCCCGTATCGATGACGGAACGGAGAGTCCGCTGAAGGCTGAAACTGAGGACCCTGGTAGAAAGGTGAGAAATGGGTCAGATTTACCAGATGATGGCCATGATTTAGATGAGGATGAAAAATTAGAAGCAAGAATTGAGAATATTATCAAAGACAATGGGAAAATCTGAGGCGAGAAGAAAAGAGTAAAAATGGTGGAAGCACTGAAAATAGCACTGCTAAAGAAGTTGCTGAAGCCATAAAACTGGAGATCCTTAACAAAGGACCATCAGTTAGAAGAGACTACAAATTACAACAAGTAACACTAGATTTGAACACTTCTATGACTATTTTAGGTCAGAAGTGAGATCTCACAAACTCCTGCATGTCTTAGTAACGTAAAATTCAGTGGAGATCAAAAGACTTTGGATGAGCATAAATGTAAGGTGAGAGACATATTGATCAATTACATCGATAAAAACTATCACTCTAAAGTGGTATTACTAGAAGATCCAGTAGCTATTGTAAATAAACTCAAAGAGATGAAAAGATACTTAACTAATGTATCTTCATTTACAGTGAGGAAAGAAATCCCCAATATGCAGTATGTAATTGGAAAAATGACAGCAGTCGAGTTTTGTGAGAAGCTCGAGGAGGCGATTCGAACTTACGAAAATTCAGCAGACGCCACCCCTTTATCCGATGAGGAAAAGAGGGACGCGTTTAATAATGCCATTATGGGGTCTGTACCGATGGTACAGTACCTACAGTCCTCAGCTAACCTTGGAGGTTTGCAGCCCCCAACTTATGAGCAATTAAAACTTGGTATGCAGGAAGAAGCATCAAGGAAACAGTCTGGGGAGGGGAGCAGTGAGGTGAGAGCTGCGAACCTCACCGGATTTAAGGAGAGATGTCTTGAGTGCGGGGACTATGGGCACCTCGGCCGAAACTGCCCGGGCAAGGGTAAGGGCAAAATGTGTTACAGTTGTAAAGGCTACGGGCACATAATTAAGTATTGCCCAAACTCAAGAGAAAAACAACAAGCCAAAAGTTAACATAAGACACACCAGTTCGCGGGGAAATAGTTTTCGTAGATTTGAGCGTGGTGGTGGGTTATTGAAGAGAAGGTCAGAGGGTTTAGGTGCGAATGACCCAAAAGGCGCGAAAAGGGGGAAATACTATAACCTAAAGGGCAAAGGAGACAACAAGTACTCGAAGCCCAAGACCAGTGCAAAGTCTAATAAGGAGGGCTCAAGCAAAACCTCAGGAGGAGACAACAAAGAGAAGGGTGAGTTAGATTCGAATGAGACAGGAGAGTGTATGGAGTGGATGATGAGCTTTGTGAAGGTCAGGCATTGCATGTAGGTGTTTGTTTTGATAAAGACAAATTTATTACCGAATTCCTAGCAGATTCTGGTGATACGGAGCACTTAACAAATTCGAAACTAATTTTCAAGTCTCTCGACGAACAAAGTAAAGGCGTGATCAAATGTGCGAATAAAAATAAACAAGCGGATTTGAGAACGGAG